TTACATTAGATCATGAGGAAATTATACGAAATGCTGAATGAAGGCATGCTGTAAGATGACCTGTGTAACCAGAGTATTCAGAATAGTGAAAGTGATGACCAGAGAGAATACCAAAAGTCTTTCAATTTAGAAATTACTTTAATTTAGGCGGCAATGTGAAAAACCTTGATTTTATTCTAAAATAGGCATCACAACAGTTGACAAGTTAAGAAGCCAAAAAAAAAACATTTTGGTACTGTAACAGTATTTACATGTGATAACAAAAATATTCGTAGTGAAATGATACCACCATGTTTTTGCCATTATCAAGTTGACTTGGAACTACAAGCCAGTTATTAACTAATCAGCTAGCCAAAGATATTCATGAATTTCCAGATATCACAAATGGCTATACAACACACCACTTGAGGGGCAAAAACAAGTTACCGGTACATGGCATAATTGGCTCTCTCTCTCTACAAGATCTCAGCAGCCATTTGGCTAAGACAAAAAGTATTAGACATTGTGGCTAAAATTACTTCATCCTTAACAGAAGCCCGGCATTGTTTTTGTCATGTCTAGTTTCAACATTTATTGTCAAAAACACTGGCTTTTAAGAATATTACTTACCTTCCAGCAGAAGTAGACAAGTTAAATATTTTGTGTCTTGTTCCTTCACTCAAAAGTCCGATTATATCATCATTGGGTCTCCAGACCGTCAGTAAACAGCTGGTATTATTTCTATTTTCTGTGTAGTCTGTAATTCTTACTTTGTAAATTGCGCTTACTCTTCTACTAGCTGGGAACTAAATTACAAGGTCATTAGAAGAGACTTGTGTGATTTGTTTACTTTACATGTAAATTGATCACTTTTTTTAAACAAAAGTTATTGTAACATTTGGGATTAATCTGAATAAAATATAATGTTGGTAGGGGACTTTTAATTGTGTTTGTGGGTGTACATAGCCTCCAAGTACAACTGGCCAAATATCTATGCAATTCACATTCTGAAATACATTCAGGACACAACATTAAAATATTGCTAAAATAAATATTTTAAATTTAAATATAAATTCCAACTCATAACATTTTCAAATTCCCATATCCACTGTGCACCGATCTTCAGTATTCAAAATATCAAAACAATTTGTTCACTATACTCCTGCCTTTTTATTTTTGATCTTAAAAGCAATCTGTTTGTCCACAATGTGGTCAATTATTTTCAGCCCCTAACACATACAATACATGATATGCCAGTAATGATAATTCCTGTATAATTCCAAATATCAACTGTACAAATACTCACCCTAATGTTCAATATGCAGCAAGCATTTATTGGAATTCAATGCTTAATATTAAATAAATACAGAACAGAAACACTTTCAAAACTAAACTAAAAATGCACCTACTACGCTGTAAGCAATTGTTTTGAATCTAATAATTTAAATCATTTGTTTTGCCCATCTACTGTTTATTTTTTTGTTGTGTTTTTATAACCAAACCTATACTATCATGTTCAATATTGTAATTTAACTACCTTGGATCAGAGGCTACAAACATGACTAGTTTGAAAAAAAAACTTGATGATTTATTATTAGTATATTTTTTGCATTTATTTTAAAATTAGTATTATTAATATGATTCATGTGATTCTCAATTTAAAAACAACCCCAAAAAAAAAGGAATATAATAAAAGAAGTCATAATGGTACAATTATAAAATCCCACCTCTTCAGACTGCTCATCTAAGGCTCTCTGGAATTCTGATTGAAGGTCATAGTGTTTCTTTTCAATTAGTGATTGCTTATAAGAATGTAATAATTCAAACTGTCTTCCATTCAAGTAATTCTGGAACAGAAAAGGCAATAAAAGTAACAAGATAATGAAATGAAATGAAAGTACATTTGAAGACCGAAATAATGAAATTTTGTTTTGAATCCTTTCAAAATTTTGAAATCCAGATACTGTAAAATACTTTAATTTGGCAAAAATGTATTCTCGCGTATGAGAAATAAAAGTCATAAAGCATGATTTTCACACAAAACAGTGTCATAATTTTGTTTTGTTCTCTTGTGCATAGATTGATTTTTCTCATTGTGGCAAAAAAACAAACAAGTGACCTTACGGTCGAAATAGCTCTGCTGTCCTAAAATAGCATTGTGGTAGCAATGTCAAGCAACACATACAGTATCCAAACGACAAAAATATTCGCCATAAATAGAGAATTGAAGATATCCTGATGAAATGAACAAGTCAGATGGTGATGGATAATCGCCTATATGAACAGGTACACTCTGTAATTTTTTACAATGACATTTTGAAAGCTTAAGTAAACGATTTTTCATTGTAACACAACGATCACTGTATCATTTCCAGCTGACAGCAATGAAATGCAATAAGCATTCACCACTGCTGTTGCAATCATCCGTACCTGACTTTTCAGTGTCAAAATACACAATGTCTTGGAAATTACATGAAAATCAGCAAAACACTGTATGGTTTTTAACACCAAGAAAAAATCATGCATTCTGTTTTCATCTCAGGTACCTTGATCAAAATTCTTTTGCCATTCAGCATGCATTGATTGCGTAATTTGTATATCCATGATCAGCGTCCTTGGTAATGAGGCACTCTATGAATAAGACATTTCTAAAAGTTGGGCTTTGTCTTAGTTTTGTTAGCCTTCTCATCTGAAGTTGAATAAAACCTGCCCCAATTTAAAGTAGTTTTCCTTCCAATTTGACTTTATTTTGAATTTTTTATGTATTTGATAATTTGTGTAACCAAAGTTGAGCAGCAAATTAGAGAAAATCTGCATTTGTTATTGTCACATTGTTACCACTAATAAGCAAAATACTACTCTCAGATTTAGAGACGACAAATCCCCCTGAAAAACTAGGACATTCACATGGTATTTAATTCCGCTCAAACGACCTCCCATGAAAATAAATCCATGTGATGAGTTCATTCACAAAAACAATGTGACAGTGCAACCATGTACATATAGGTTATAGTATAAATGATACACACTGAGACAGACAATGCATGTCACAGGTGTCTGCTTTATTAGATTGATGCATGATGCCAAAAAATAGATAATTTCATTTACTTTTGCTGTTGCGTCAAAAAACATTGATAATATATGTACCCAAATTTTACTACCGGGGTATATACTAGGTAAAACATACATTACCTCAATAGACATTGGATCAGTACAAGTCTGAAGAGCTTCATAAATGTCTTCACCTGTGTCCAACTTTGCAATTTCTTTAATTTTTAGATTTTGATTTCCCTTTTGTTTATTTCTACCAACATCTTAATAGACGAGAACAACAAAATTAATGATCTCCATTACTGGGAGGAATGAGTGCAAAAAGATAACCAGGACCAGACAGTTCTATACTTAGAATGACTGTACTTACTAGTATGATTTAAAAAGATTTAAGCTAATAGATAATCCAAATGTATCACAGATTAATTAAATTTTTACCACCAATAGTACAGTCATTCTGTCTTAGGTTACATGTGTAATGACAGTGATTTATAACTTGGTGATGCATGTCAAATCTGTTGTGACTACGACATAGCTGAATCAACAAGTGCACTAAATGTATGTGATAAAAAAATGCTTTATACATAAAAATGCTTTTAATAACAATTCTCACCATGAGATAATTCACTTTTTTCGAACTCATCTTGAATCTTTTTAAATAACTTTTCTGCTCTTTTCTGTTTTTCTTGTTCAAACCTAGCTGCAATCTTTGTTTCTGCCCGTGCACTGTGTACAGTTGAGCTACCCTCACTTGTCTTCTCTATGTACTGAGGAACGCAATGATATAAAAAAAACATCAGATTAAACAAGCTGCAAAAGATCCTTCTAATAACAATATAACACCAAATATTCCCACATAACCAAATATAGTTGGAATAAGTTTACTTAAATTCAAATCAGTTAAGACATAAAAGTAGCTACATATTGCTTGTTAGAATTTTGTGTAAACAATGTATTGACATGCTATGGGTCCCACATTGAAGACAAGACAACCACCAGCCTTTAAGTGAGCATATTATTAATTCATTTAAAAATTAATTTATTCTGTCCGTGTACAGTTGTTATTCTCCTTTATAACATAGTCCCTGTTGGTTCAAAATAAATCAGCCATTTTGAATCAAAAAAATAAATTACATGATTATTATAATTTTGATTGTGATCAGTCAATGTATGTCAGAGACATGCTCTATTAACAGCATTTTCATTCACTCATGTTGAATCCGATCTGTACCAAGATGGACATTAACTATTCATGCATAACTGAGATGATGGTCCACAATGGTAGAAATGCTTGATTTTCAATTTTAACATTAAAATAACTGCCATTCAGCCATCTTAAATCTATTCGTCAAACAAATATACATGTATGTGCATATATGCATCTTGATGTATCAAGGCATGTCAGAGATATGGCTCTGGAACAGTATTTGTTTTAAAACAAGTCATTGTTAATGACACAGTCCCCATCCAAAATGTTGTGATCGGACATATCAATTTGATGCTGATGGAGTCATTGAGATTGAAACCATTAATAGGAGATGGATTTGTAAAATATTATGATTTAGTGCTTTTAAATGAGAATTGGACATTGGGCAGTCATATTGAATCAAATTACAAAAATAATGTTCATGTTGATGTATCTATTGGTATACTGTCTTTGTACAAAATTTAAACAGAAATGTTCATTACATTCATGGAAAAGTAGGCATGGGTATCATGAAAAACAAAATGGCCACCAGTCAGCCATATTAGTTTGAATCAAAGAAAAACAAGCCATGCACGAACGAAATCCATCCATAAATGCTTGATATTTGATGATTTTTTAGCACAAAAATGGCCACCATTTGGCCATTTTGAATAGGATCGTCAAACCAATATATCTGTCTATCTATGACATGATGTATAATGAATATTTAAAGTTTGAACATAATCAGTGAAAGCAAGTCAGAGATATGGCACAAGAACCACATTCATTAAAACAAAATGGCCACCAGTCGGCCATTTTTAATCTTATCTGAAAAACAAAATGAAGTGCATCAAGGTCCTATAATGTATAATGTATATACCAAGTTTGAACAAAATCCATCTGTATACAGCCGAGAAATGCTTGATTTTGATGATTTTTAGCAAAAAAAATGGTCGCCATTCGGCCATCTTGAATCAGATCGTGAAACAAATTGACATGCATTTGTATAATATCATGTATGATGTATGTGTGAAGTTTGATTGTGATTGGTCCAGGCATTTCTAAGATACAGGTCTGAATGCACGCACAGACAGAGGCACGCACACACACACGCACACACAGAGGTCAAAACACAAGTCTTCGTTTTCGGACTGCGTCCGAACGGGGACTAAAAATAATGTTGGTACAAATGTATCCCTTGGTAAACTATTTTTGTACAAAATTTAAAGAGAAACGTTCATGGCATTCAAGAGAAAGTAGCATGGGTACCTTGAAAAACCAGATGGCCGCCAGTTGGAAAAAAAAATGACGTGCACCTACAGCTCAATATACATGATCATCAAACCAACTTTGATCCAAATCGGCCCAGTTATCTCCGAGAAACTGCTGCGGACACATTTAGGTATCAGAAATAGCAAATTTTACATCCAAAATGGCCACCAGTTGGCCATTTTTGCTCTGATCATAAAGTAACGCGCATATGCAAGACATTATGTATTGTCCTCATGTAAAGTTTGAATGAAATTGGTTAATGGGTGTTGGAGATATAGCTCCGGACGTACGAACGTACGGAACAAACCCAAATTAATAGTTCGTCTGAACAGGGACTAAAAAATGTCCACCTGCCGGCCATTTTGATTTTGATCTGAAGAACATAATGATGTGCACCAAGGCCTCATTCTTTTTAATGTAACAACCCAAATGACAGAAATGCTTGATTTTGCTGAATTTTTAACATGAAAGTGGCCACCACTTGGCCATCTTGAATCTGATTGTGAAAGGAACAGACGTGCATGTATCAAAGATGTATTATGTTTGTGTAAAGGTAGGCACACACAGACAGATGGATGGATGGATGGATGCCTAGAAGTCAATCAATACCTGTAATTCCCTGTTTTCGGACTGTGAGAAAATGAGATAATTTTAGTTATGACGTGACAATGGTACATCCCTTTGACATAGTGACTAAGGTGACATCATCAGTCTGTGTGTGCTCAACCAGAACACAATAAAAGCATCATAGTGCAATAATTTTTAATCGTTGAAACAAGTAACAGTTAGATGGTGGAAAGACAATAAATAAGAATAATATTTCTGCCAAAAACCATTACTGCAAACGTGTGTGCAACAACACACTCAGACATCATGACTAATAGCATGATGTAAGTGCATGATTCGTAAGCATAGTTCCACGTAAAATCATGATTCCTCTTATTCTACTCAATCGTAGAACTAGTTGATACTTGCAGCGTCATGGGCTAGTTTTATACACTAACCTTCCTTTTGTGGATAATACTAGCGCATACTAGTCGTCATTGGCATATTATAAAACCAACTCAACAAACAAGTGGTGTCATGTGATAATTTCATTATCATAGCAGTATAATAGCTGTTCATCTTCATATAGTCCCCTGGATCCCACAGTGCAAATATAAATCCATACTCCACTAGTGACAATGGTTTTCACTGTGTGGCTGGCAAGAACTATTCTTGTTAATATTACTCGCATTACAAAGTCAACTTTTTAAATATTGTTCATGAAACTGATTAATTAACGTATTTGACATTTAGTTTCAAACCTGGAAAATCTACTGAAACAAGTAATCAAACACAAATATGCCAATTAGTTAACGGAGAAAATTAAAACGGAGAAAATTAAAACAGTGAAAACTACATATTAGAAACATTAGTTCATAAACATAAACAGCAACAGAGGTGCAGGTAGTATTTTTTGATTTCAGACATAATTTCTTTCAAGCTTCACCAACTATCATTTGAGCAAACTTTGCATTTTTGATAAAATGTGTTCGTCATGTTTGAGATATTTATGATGACTTTTTAAAAACTGTAAGTCTGACTGTTTTGATATATATTACTGCACATGCATGTAACATGGACGTCTTTCAGATTTGGAAATTTTGTGATATCTTCAATTCCCTAATTTTGTCATTTTGTTATTATCAACTTCAAGTTACTTTCGCATTGGG